CAGACAACTTATTTACGACTTGCCACCACTTTCGGCAATCGTCTTTCTTAAGATGTTGTACTTTAGTTTTGTAATATTCTTTCTTTCTTACGGCTATTTCGGTCTGGACCTTATATTTCAATGTTCTCGACTGCAGAACATCTCCACCATGGAAAGCTCTTTGACGGTCATTAATGAGTTTTTTGATAGACACAGACATGCATGGTTTATCGGAATGGCAAAACCTAACAGATTTCAGGGGAATAAGACTGTCAAATGCTGTAGATACTTGGGATGAGAAGGAATTAGCTAGGTCATCTACGGTAGGGCTTGGACCCAGATTACTGAACAATTGATGCGTGCTGGCCCATCGGCCGAAAGAATTCAAGGCAGATAGCGGATAGCGGCGTATAAGACGCTTAATCGGTTTAGGTTTGGTAATAGCATCAACTTTATTAGGAACCCATCGTACTATATTATGGTCAGCAGACCCAAGCGGAGCAAGAATATACGGCTTGTCATAAAAATCTTGTAAATCGGTGACGATGAGATCAAGGGTAGAAGACCCCCTTGTAAGAGCAGAAACGACTTGCTTCAAACTAAGACTACGGGTTAGGTTCGAAACATCAAAATTATTAAAATCACCAAGGAATACGATTCTACAATTAGGATAACAATTCCTAATGGAATCCGTTGTGTTCATCAGATATTCATCAAGATCACGTTGTTCTTCAGCAGTTCTGCCAGGGGGGTTATACACAACGCAAACTGCAATAGCCGAAAGAGGTCTTGGCAGTCGTGTCGGGCGGATCCATAACCAAAGACATTCAAAATTCGGATTTTCAAAATCTAGTCTCCGTTGACAGGGAATGTTTTTCAAAGAATAAACGCACACACCACCGCCCCGGCTACCTGTACGATCGTTACAGTGGATATTATAGCCACTGATTGATATCAAGCTATCATCAACATCCTTGTGTAGCCACGATTCTGTTATAGCCACTAGATCTATTGGGTTACCATCCAGAAGTACAGCAAGTTCGTCGATCTTAGGCTGCGACTCGGGTGTTGGGGGCTGATAGGGCTAGAGATGTTAAAAAGTTCCCCAGTTGTAATAGTTGGCTTGTCTGAAAATCCTGACCAAACCTACTGTTTCCTTGCCTTGTTCTTGTTTGGGTGGTCGTTTTATTGCCTTCTCGAATAATTTAATGAAATTGACAGCTAAGTAGGCAGACCCTTTAGCGTTTAGGTGGATCTTGCTACCGTTTAAGGCAGTCCTATCAATGTTCTCATTGTTTATAAAACCATAATCTTGATTTAACCACGTTTGGGCAATTAGTGAATTTGTTTTCCTTATTTTGTCTGTTAGGTCACAGTCTTCCCGGGTAACAATGCTTGATATTCCAATTCTTGATGTTGGAAATTTAGTTTTTAATTTAGAAGCTAATTGCCCAACTTTTTCAGCACAGGTTTCTGCTGTGTCAACAGGCAGATTGTTTGTTCCAGCATGAATTATAATGTGGGACGGTGTTGATTTTAACTTGATTTGGTCTAATTGGTTAGATATTTCATCAGCTGTTTTGCCCGGAAAGGTTATTTTCGTAACATTCCTACTCGATATTTTTTTCGGTATTATATGTTTGATTATTGAGTCCCCAATAATAACAATTTGGCTTTCTCGATCTAAGTTCATGTTGTTTTGGGGATCATTATGGTCATGTTGTTTTGGGGATCATCATGGTAACTCTGGCTTACCTTCTATCATCTGTGTACCCGAGTCTTTCCGGTTAGGCTCTTGTTCATTGATCACATTACATTCAACAGTGACATCCTCCTCAGCTCCTTGAGTACCGGTACTCAAACCTTCCCCGACAGTTTCTTGTTTGTCATTATCAGTATGTTCACTATCATCCTCTACTGTAAGTATTTCAAACGCATTCTTGCATTCAAGTATGTTTCTAAACTGTCGTTTTGAACCTTTTGGTTTTGCCATGCCAGAGTTTTGTTTTAATTTATCATCAGCATTGATGAAGGCACCAATTTCATTGTTACGCCAGTCGTTCATCACAATTTCTTTTCCTTGTAAGATTTTAAGTGCAGTTACTAGACTTTTCTTTTCCTCATCTAACAATTTAAGTTTAGTATATTGAGATCTGACATTACCATAGTGGTATACTCAATTCTTCCTTTAAGAGCAGTATTTTCTTTCTTGAGATTTTCATTCTCATGTTTTATATTAGTAATATAGTCATGTGATATCTTTTCATGAAGGTCATCAGCCTCCTTTAAGTTGCATACCTGCAGTGCCACGTCATCAATTTTTGTGTTGAGCTTCTCCTCAATAGTTAATATTCTCTCTAAGATTTGTGCAAAAGCATCTGCCTCACTCAGTTCAGACGAATTTCATAAGCTTCAGATACGTTTCTCTCATACGCAATAGTGTGACAGGGCCTTAATTTAAGATCGAAGCTGGGGCCCAATCCGCGGCTACCTTCACAGTGCTAAAACGATTGTTATCAATAAGCGAAGGCATGGCTGTAAATCTACTTACGAAGTTTTGGACATTCAATCAGGGCGCTATAAACCTACGCGTGCTTTATATAGTCATAGTTAATGACCCGAACACAAAAACGGAAGCCGTCTCAAATTTCAACACTTTGATTTATGACATATATGTCTCCCTTGGATGCCTCAAAATTTCTCCCATTTATACACTAGTCGTCTATTTCCCCTACATATAATAGAGTTCAAACATGACGCCCCTATACAGTAAATCTACCCAACCGAATTGGTGTTATTACAGTAAGAAACTGTTGCTTGTAGAAATAAAAGCCTACAATGAAGATTTCTCTGTCAACGCCGCGCGATAAGTTCAGCAAAATTACATTTTTATTACCTTGAACATGTCTGTCAAATGTGATATTTTGCGCGCCCAATACTTTGAATTACGTTTCCCACATGAGAACCGCATTGTGAGATATCATATATATTCATATTATATTTTTATTTATTAACTGCAACATGTCTGCCAAATGCGTTTTAATATATTTTGCCAAATAGGCCTACTTTAAATTGCGTTTCCCACATGAGAACCGTAACGTGAGATATCATATATTCATATTATATTTTTATTTATTACGTCCAACATGTCTGTCAAATGCGTTTAAATATATATTTAGCCAAATATTTTAAATTGCGTTTCCCACATGAGAACCGCAACGTGAGATATCATATATTCATATTATATTTTTATTTATTACGTCCAACATGTCTGTCAATGCCTTTAAATATTTATTTTGCCAAATACTTTGAATTACGTTTCCCACACGAGAACCGCAATGTTAGATATAACATTATATGTTTATATACATACAATAGTAAGTATTAATAAAATAGAGCAATGTTATATCTAATATAAGCATCCCACACCGAATGACAACCCGCGACCATCATACATCATCTGTACCATCTTCACCATCTGACAACCCTTCAGTATATAACCACCCTACACCATCATACACCATCTGACAACCATCTGACACACTTCGACCATCATACACCACCATACACCATCTGACAACCATCTGACACATTTCGACTATCATAAACCATCTGTACCATCTTTACCATTTGACAACCCTTCCCTGTATAACCACCCTACACCATCATACACCATCTGAAAACCATCTGACACACTTTGACCATCATACACCATCATACGCCATCTGACAACCATCTGACACACTTCGACCATCATACACCATCATACACCATCTGGCAACCATCTGACATACTTCGACCATCATACACCATCTGTACCATCTTCACATCAGACAAGCATCTGACACACTTCGACCATCATACACCATCATACACCATTAGACGATCATCTGACACATTTCGACCACCATACACCATCATACACTATCTGACAACCATCTGACAACCATCTGACACACTTCCACCATCATACACCGCCGTACATCACATTCACCATCAGACATCACATGCCTGTATTGGACATTACTCAATTGCAAGATTGGTTTATTTAAAAAAATTGTCTCTCATCTTGGGGTACGGTGGAAAAGAGGTAAAATTGACAAAATTGGCGAAAATCCTCACGTGGTAGTTTTGAATATGTTTACGTCGATCTACACATACTGCAATATCGTTCAGCGCAGATCGTTGGAGTTACGAGTGCAATTACTTCGAAGCATTCCCGTCGAAGCAAAGTATGGCGATATCATTACGGAAACGTTCACCAATATACAATACGTGCCTGTCCAAACGAAATCCTTTGAAGACATGAAAATTCTTTTAAGGAATGACACGGACGATCCAATGTTATTTAAACGTGGGTAGGTAATAGCAACACTAGCTACATTTCAGACAGCATACATACTTCACTTGAGAAAGATTAATAATCCGTACGTACGTTATGATGTGGATCAACAGCAAGGGCGTGGCATGCCCGTATTCAGGGGAAGACCTTGGCAGGTCGGATATGGGCAACAGACAGGGTACGGCCTGGGGAGCCTGTTCCGCAGCCTGACACGAACAGTGATGTCCATGGTGAAAAGTGGAACGAAAGCTCTTGGAAACATCGCCCTAAAATGTGGCGCCGATTTTGTGGGCGACGTTCTGGCCGGTAGTTCTTGCCGTTAAAACCATGAATCACGTACATTCCAAATCGCAAGCATGTACACTCGATCTAATCTCTGTGCTGCTAACACAGATCAGTTTAGAGAAAGGACACTGGGTAGATCACCAACCCGTCTCCAGTGTAGCTGATGGTGATGCCATTCCGTTCCTGTCTCCAGACACTGAAGTTTATGTTGAATTTGCTAGAACGATTCTCGTGGTGAGAGCGAAAGTAACAAAAGCCGATGCTACAGATCTCGGCGCAGACGAAAGGGTATGGTATTTTTTCCAGTGAATACAAAACGCCGTTTTCGAATATTAATTTTTTCTAATCTGTTTAAGGTTGGAGTGGTGAACAATTTTCTCCACAGCCTGTTCAAACAAGTGGATGTCTTCCTGAAAGAGAAGCAAGTCACACAGGCTACCGGAACCTATGCGTACCGTACTTACTTGGAAACCCTCTTTAATCATGGTCCCTCCGCAAAAAATTCACAGCTCACTGCTGCTTTGTATTACAAAGACACTGCTGGAAAAATGAATGTCGCAGATACTACCACGGTCGCTGCCACAGGCAATGCTGGTTTTCAGAGCAAGATACGTTATCAGCAAAGCAAATGGAACTGTTGAAATGACCGGCCCCATATTCAGCGACATATTGATGTCCGAACGTTTCCTGCTGAGTTACGTAGATCTGAAAGTTATATTGATTCGAAGCAGCGACGAGTTCTGTTTGATGGCGTCCGAGGACAGTGCCGATTAGCGGGTGAAACTCGCCGATGCATATCTCAAGATACGTAAAGTGAAAGTCAACCCGAGAATTTTCGTGGCGCATGAAATCGCATTGAAAAAGGGACCGACCATCTATCCTATTCGTCGCGTCGAATGCAAGAACTTTATCGTTCCCGCAGGAAATCCCTCCCTGAGGAAAGATAACTTTTTCAATGAACTGGTGCCGAAAACGTTTGTCTTCGGATAAGCTAAGCGTGTAACGGTTCTTTGAAAATAAATCCGTACAATTTTCAACATTTCAGCGTGTCTTCCATTGGAATAACCTTCAACGGAGAAGAAATGCCTTTTAGACCCTTGCAGCTTTCCTATGGTGCGGCACCTAAATGCATCGAAGCATTCATCACCCTGTTTTCTTGTACGGAGAGAATGTACTACAGCACAGGAAACGATATATCTTGAGAAGAATTCATTGACAGTTGCGGACATGCGCCCGAGTACTACAGGAAATCGTTTGGAGACATTTTAAAGTCTCACGCATGGGATTTTAATAGACGTAAATTGCCGAGTACTTGGTCGGATGTATGTGGCAAGTATTGCATATTTTACCTTAGCCAGAGAGAAAGAGGTCAGAGCATGAGTAATATCGTACATTTATTTAACAATGATACGATTTTAGATGACACAAAAGTATCCCAGTTTGTTAAGAGGCATTTTAAGGTATTGTTAAAACATTCCAATGTTAACCTTAATCAGTTCAGTAAAGAGATAGTGTGTGTTTTTATCCTGCGCATGCACACACGTAAAAAACTTGCCTCACGCGTAAAAAAAATACCTTATAAATATTCAATTCACACATAAAAATTCCCTCATAAATATTCAATCAAACGTATAAGAATTTCCTTATACCCTTGTAGACTCCGACATATTTATAACCTATTTTATACCTATTTTTTTTCTATTTAGCCCTATTTTGTCCGTATTTTTTCCAAAATATGACTATTTTATTACTATTTACCAAATTTCATAAAATAGTATATGACTATTTACATCCTATTTAAAATATAGGTTATTTATATTTTTCAAAAAAACAGCTTTGAAATAATAATAATAATTACAATTTATATAGCGAAAATCAGCATTTATATATGATCAAATGCGCTGTACAATAATATATTAAAATAGTTAAAATTGATGTATACCTATCTAGTATGTATTTATGTCAAAAGCTAATCTAAATAAATGTGTCTTTAAACTCTTTTTTAAACTGTTAAAACTGTCCGTATTTCTAATGTGACATGGTAACATGTTCCACAGTTTTGGGGCAGCAGATGTAAATGATCTGTCTCCCAATCTTTTCTTGAATCTTGCCCTTGGCTGTGCAAGCAGTAAACCTGTATTATTTGATCTAAGACTATAAGATGACTTGTCTCTGATACATATCAGATCGCTTATATAATCAGGAGCAAGTCCGCGAATTGCCTTAAAGGCGAGAATAAAAACTTTAAACTTGACTCGATACTGAACAGGTAGCCAATCATCCTCGGTCCCAGGGCGTCACGGCTGACACTGCGTTGCCGGAGGCCCTGGCGAAAACCAAAACCGGAACTTCAAAAATCTTGTAGTTTGCCGGAAGTAAACTTAATAAAAATGCTGACTCTGCATCTTTTTTTGCAAGGAGTGAACTTTAAGAATTTCTCGAAAGAAATAATGTTTTACATGCAAGATAAACATTAATTTGTTCTGGTTATTTCACCATATAAGGATCATCTAAATGATTCAATTATGAAAGCTGTTCAAGTTGATGAATCGAAGGATACAATGTGTAGTTTGGGAGACTCATTGTATACGGACAGCAATCAATTTGAATTTTTATTATAATCGACGAAATATACAGACAATTTAAAAGCGATTGTTGTGGACGAAGCCCAATCTTATTAGTGAATGGTGAGTGAGTGATACTGATATATTTGGTTGTTTCTCAATATTCTTTCATTGCTATATTAATGGTTATCTGCAAGACTGTACACATACAGACAACCGATATATTCTGTTTAATACGTCTGGTCTAAACGCTGCATTTTACATGTGCCAAGTCTAGAAAAGTTCGTTCAACCTTTTTAGTGCTACCAAATTATTTTACTCAGCTTAACATGCCAGATGATGTAATGTTCGTGGTTTTGTATCAATATCAAGCAGCACTCGGATATAAGCCCCCCCTGAATATAAGCACACCCAAATAGAAGCCCCCCCCCCCCAAATATAAGCCCAGTAGCCCACTACATTATTCAACATTGACATTGTCTTTTATAGCAAAGAATATTTAAAAACATTGTCATTGTCTTTATATCTTACTATGTTAATCAAAGCGAGTTATTAATACACGCTTATTTTCCTGTTTATGACTAACTTGTCCCCGAGCCGGCGGCGCGAAGCGCCGTGCGAGGGTACTAATTCCCCCCGGCTATTTACACCCGGGGAAACGAAAGCATTAGCCAAGTCTAAAGTTCATCAAATATCGCGGGCGTGGGTCACTGTGCGTGGGTGGTCATCCTCACTGATCTCAAAAAGATGGCGGACTGTCATGGATAGCGAACACTGATTGGTCAAATTTAAAATTTTGTTGTATGACAAATCACGACTTCAACTGACAGATACTTCATGAAAATAATTTGCTTTTTGCACTGCAGTATTTTGTACGTTTGCAAAAAACTGTGACAGCTTTCAAAGCAATTTGCTCTATAAAGAGTTTAATAAAACAATTATGGTATCAAATACCAATTGAAAAGATATGGACTACTGTATGGAGCCAAATGAAGGGCGGCAAGGAAACGACAAGAAAGCCGAACGTCTAGCGAAAAGGAGGGAGCTAGCGAAGACGACAACGTTTGCTCGAGGAGACTGCTGAGGAAAGAGAAGCTCGCCTGGGAAAGCGTAGAGAAGCATGGAAAAAAAGACTGCTGAAGCGAAAGGTAAGCAAAGGCTTGTTGTCTTCACAACGCTATGTACCAATGATACTGTAGCTATATATACAAGTTGAAGTATGATATTCGACCCTCTATATTCGACTATTTCTTCACAATTTTCCAATAAAGAGTTTGTCATGACACGCTCAAGTCAGTATAACCAGACTGTATTTTATTTATATCGGTTATCACAGCCACAGGCAATTTTATGCTGTCAAATACCGTCGGTGGCAACTAAGGGTGAACAGTTGCAGATAAAACATTCTCTATTCTCATTAAAAAGCCTGTAAAAGTTTCCAGTAGGTCTCTAGCCCAACAAGTTCAGACAAAGTTTTGTTACTTATTTTTATTGCACACATGGGAAACAACAATTAAGTGTTGTTGTTCTTGACAAACATTGAAGATTCTAATCACGCGAATGTTTTTATGAGCGACTGTTCATCGTTAGTTGCAAACGACGAT